GGTATAAGCAACTGGAAGATGGTTGGATGGGATTTAAATTACTGATATTTGAGAAGTTTTTGGTAAAATATGAGATCCTGTGTTTTCAAGGATGTGGAACTTGCAGTTGCTAGGCAACAAGCACTGTTGCAGAGAGGACGTCTCCTGTGCGGAGTGTAAATGAGAGCCACCTCTCCATGGACACCCCTTTGGACAAAACTGTCATCTAAGTGAACAAAAGGCCGGTGGCTTTTAAAGTTACACACTCTCTTGTGAGGTTGCGGCATAGCGCCCCCTGCTTCCTGCTTGCGGATACAACATGTTACACCTGGTCTTGGTGGCCTGAATGGGGAAAATGATCCATCCATCCATTTTCTTTCCGCTTTTCCTGGTCAGGGTCGTGGGAAGATTGCTAGCTTTTCTCTCCAAGCGTGGTTCCCATGAGGTATAAAGGGTGGTCTTGGTTTCTGGGTCACCGGTATTTTTGCTGTCTCAGCAGCTCCATGGTTGGGCTGAAGGAAGTGAAATATGGCGCCACCATCGTGTATCAGCTGGCTTGGTCCAGTGGGTGTGTTCACAGAGCAAATGCAATCCCCTCTGAGAATTGGTGCCAGCTTAATTTATGTACAGCTTGGTGATGGCGTTAACCAGCCACTAGAGCCCAGTGTTCAGAATTCATACCAAAGTGCTTATCTGCAACCTCTGACGTTCTAGTCATTCTCTTCCATCGTTTGACATTGTTGAGAGCAATGGTGCAATGGTCTCTCCATCAATACCTTACACTAATAACTACTGATTTTACCGCTGCTCAGCTCCATGCTTGGGCAGGATACCTGCTCAGCGGTAGAATCAGTAGCTATTAGTGTATCTTAACAAGAACATTCATAATATGTTTAATTATGGTAATTAATTTGCGCAGGGATCAGAATGGCTGATCCAAGCCGGAAAACCATGTTTGTCACCGAATGGCTGCTGGGAGTCACCGACTCCTCATTAGAGTCCATTTCAGTGAGGTTTTGATCCCAGTTGCACCACCAGTGGCTGTCCCTGCTGCCTGTCAACGGGCGGGGCAGGGTATGGTTGGGTTAGGGTGGGGGACGCTGGGTTTCATAGAATAAACATGGACCCATCATTAAACTTTGGCCTTTATACTTCATATACAATTTTTCGCTGGGCTCACAGGTTTTTTTTTTACTTTTTAAGCTGAAATGTGGCTGTTAGCAATGAGTTCTTAAGTTAAACTTCAGCATACCCTCTGTCAGTCATTACGCTTTCCTCACACTTCAGGTAAATGTCTTCCCCATAGCAAAACGTGCCTGGGCTTGTGAACCATTTCAAAGTGCTTTATGATAGCTCTTGTGTTCATTGGTTGTGCGTTTGCTAATAATCATCATTCTCATTCAACGAGAATCGCTCAGGGAGAGGCCTAGATTTCTGGTAATAAGTGACAGTTTTATTCGGGGTGTAGGAGTTCTGGCATCTAAAGAACCCAAACAGGCTTTGTGCTGCAGTGGAACTTGGGGTTGGACTCAAAACAGTGGATGGAGATGCCATGGGGGTGGAAAAACTACAATTTTACACATTTTGCTGTTGAAGTTGGCCAAAGGCCACGTCACCTCACCTACCTGCATGCTTTTTGGCAGAGTAGACGTAGTAATAGTTTTAGATTATCAAGATGAGTTCCTGAACTGTATTTTTGTAAGTTTAAAATCTATGATGGCTATATAATGACAGCACTGGACACAATGATTCCATCCCCATAATTCCGTTTCTTCTTCAGTCAGTATTTCCACTACTCCCACCAGCTGTTGGAACATGCTTGGGTTCTGGTGAAGAAGCACTTTTTCACAGATACCATAGCGTTTTCGTTCTATAGTGTCTCCTTAACTGTTCTTTAGTCATGTTTTCCTCATCGTAAACACAACCCTCAGCTAGTATTTTTTTTATTACAGGGATTAACCGGGGGATTTCCTGGTATCCTGGAATGTTTTCTTTGAAGAACACATTCTTGGAAGATCATTGAAGATCACTTCCCATCACCCTGTCCCCCCCCACAACTGTAGCATGCCTTGTTCCCTTGGCAACCAAACACAAACCCAATGTACTAAAATGGCCATTCTGATCCATTGAGTCTTGCAGGTGTCAATTCAAGCAAATAAACACCAGTGTATCTTAACAAGAACATTCATCATATGTTTAATTATGGTAATTAATTTGCGCAGGGATAAGAATGCTTTGGTTTTTTGCCCCCCAAAAGTAAAGCTGTCAGCCTTACTGGACCACAAGTTGATGGGATGTGTTTTTTAAGTAGACACATCTGTCAAAATTTAAAAAGCTTCATCTGGTAAGTGCCAAGCTGAAGTCATAGAATGAGCCTTTCCTGTGGTTGGACTTGGCCTATCCGTGGCATATCTTCACTCTGTATATACCTTAGTAATGCTTTCTGGCAATAGCAGCCAATCTAATGGAATAATGATTACGACATTGTGGGAGGAAGGCAGGTGCTTCACTTGACAGATGTCTGGTTGCAATAATTCCCTAGAAGACAAATATCAGGCTTGCTGGGACCCATTTTCTTAGATCTCCAGTTAAATACTGGCCACAGAGCAGTGAAGTTGGGTTTGGAAAGGCAGACTTGCTGCCTTATTTGAGTCATTTCTTAAATCAAATGCTTTGGTTTTTTGCTCCCCAAAAGTAAAGCTGTCAGCCTTACTGGAGTACAGTTCTGCCTGTGTTTCAGACCATAATTTCTGATATCAAACAGTCTTTGTATTCCTGTGGGAGTGCACAGAAAAGTTGCACAGAAACGTTTTAGAATTTACATGCTTGGGGGTTCCATGGAAAATAATCGGTTTACTTTGGCTTTGGTTTTTGTGGAGAATCGTCCGTATTGAGGGAGAAGTTGGGGGGTGGGGGGTGCAGGGAGGTGTGGGGTAAATCTTATACAGACAGTCACTGCCAGGGGATTAAATCATTATCTGTGTAACCGGGGGTCAGGGTGACCAAGGAAACCTTACTAAGAATAAGGCTAAGCAGAGACATTAATCTAAAACTGTCTTTGTTTTGACTAAATTGAATAACAATTGACGTTTGGTGCCTTGCTTAGGGGTATCCATGGCAGTGCGTGGAGCCGCAGTCATAGTCTTTTTGGTCATCAGTTCAGGTCACGAACAGGATATGTCACCTCTGATGTCACTGTCCAATGAGGGGGGTCCTTACTGCCAATAGGACAGAGATTCCTTCAATTTTGTGTTGAATTTAGCATAACTACAGCTGAGAGGCCACTGACTTAGACGCCATGATTTTAAACCAACTGATTCAATTCTAAATACAAGCCTTGACATTAATACTTTTGTGCATTGCCTTCTCCAGCAGGCATGCCAAGTACAATATACTTAATCTGTGCAGCTTTTGTTGTGTTATTGGGCTTTACGTCCAGCCCAATTTCTTACAATAACAGTTAATAGATTTATCTTGTATACCTGACTCTGACAATGATCATGATGATGATAAAAAATCTCAATGGAGACGCCAGTGGACAGCAGTGGAAGTTTGCAATAGAATTTTGGCTTCTTTTGATTGTTTGATGTTGATGTCTACCAGGATGATATTAAACTGGAGTCAGGTTCAAAGCTAATTAAATTGCCGACTGCAGAGCCGGAACCTTTAGCCTAAATCAATTCAGGATACGCCGCACTAATAATGTTCCAATTTTAACTACCCGGGATCAGCTGTGGGCTGAAATGTTTGCATCGCTTGCCACCTGTTCCGTTGCATGATGGGACTTCTTGGAATTTAGCAGGAGGTGAGAAGGTGTGCAGTTTATCTGTAGAGTGAGGAGGTCTGGCTTTGAGCGCACATGGAACTCAAATTATTTTCTGGTTATTAAATTCTCTTTATTGATATTATTAATGTAGACTTCATGGTAAAATAATGGTAATAAATTTTACTATGTTTTGGGAGGATGCTGTTCCATAGCTCCATGTAGTATTTTTTTGCCTTAGGCCCCCACAGTCCCTAGAATCACCACTGACTGTATAGACATGGTGGATGGGGGTCAAGGGGGGTCAGAGAGCATGAGCCGTCATGAAAAAAGTTGTTCCACATCACTTTGTCGTCGCCCCTGCTATACGTCCCTGATAAACACCGGAATCCTGGCCACTTCTCTGCACCTCTGTGGAAATCACAGCCAGGCTTGTCTCTCGGGCTTGGTAGGGCATGAAAAGTGTTAGTCATATTATAATAACAATAAAGCAGTGTTAAAGTCTGCCCCTAAGGGCATTGTGGCTGTGGGTGTGTACGGTCTCAGTGGAGCAGTGTCTGACCGAGAGGCACATTTGAGAGTCTGATTAATGCTCAGTGTGGTCAGGGGTGATTGAGATTCAGATGCTGCACACAGACCTTGTGGCTGATGTTGTCCTACGGTGCCTGGTCATGTGACAACAGCAATGCAAGTGTCGTACGCAGATTAACGAAAGGAGAGAAACGATTATAGCAGAAGGAAGGAGACAAGTGGAGATATAAGAACAAACGGAGTGTTTACTTTGAGAAAGAGGTGAAGAGCACTGGCTGCCAGCTGCTGGATTCAGTGCCACATATGATATTTAGATGTTGTGCAAAGCCCATGAACTGCTTCAAACGACTGTGTAACTAATTTGAGGTCCGCATATGAAAGCCGTGTCCTCTTTTGTGTCACTGCCCCGATCAGATTATTGATCTGTATCAGGAAGCCTGGGTACATGAGGGTGATGACGAGCTAGCACCTAACCCCCCCCTCCCGCCCCCCCCAAAAAAGTTGTTTTTTAGACAGTGAACAGTTGAGCGTGCAATCCTGTCACTAGAGATAGTGAGCAGGATAGTGATCTCCACTCTCGCTTGCGAGACTGGCCTAGTTATATCCTGCTCTGTGTCAAGCCCATTCGAAAGACCCCCCCCCCCCCCAGCAGACTTTGATACCCAGACAAAACACACTTCTGCTCCTAATGTCCTCCCCCCACCCCCAGTGAGGACGGCAACCTCCCGGCTAAGAGGAAGATGCAGCTTTGGCTCAGCTCCTCAATGTACAAGGTACAGTACGCACTCTGAGTCTTTGTCGTTTCTGTTTATTTGATTATTGGTCGAAATTGAATTGTTACCATGTGCGTCGGTTTCATCGATAACTTTGATCAGACTGAAGCTTTGCATTATTCCAGTCCTTTTGTCCTTCTCCAGTCCTTATAGTATGCAATAGTTGTCACAACATGCTCATGAGTGAGGGTGTTATTCTACTTATATGTGATCATGTAATAACATTGTAGGAAGGCCAATCATATTCTCAAGCTTTATGCATTTAATTAGGTCCTAAAAGCAGAGAAGATTTATAAAAGTCATATTACAGTATTTATTTATCTGTCTGCAAAATCAGAAAAATAAGTGACCTATGACTGAGCTATATAAAATCTTAGAACTGATAGTCTTGATAAACAGGAAGTAATAAGACTGACAAATCAAATGCAGAAAAATGAAGCTTTAATTCCAGGCAATATTGATCTCTGCAAGGTGCTGAAACGTCAATGTTGGGCATTTCAGATCCAGTAGCTATGAATCCAGGCCAGGATTTTGTTTCTACCAACCAGCTAAGCATAAAGAGTCACAGTCACAGATTACTTAGTAGAACTGGTTAGTAGAAGGATATTGGTGGTCTGTAGCTTCTGGACCTGAAATGCCCAACACTGTGAGATGTTATCTTTCCGGGTGATTGCTGTGCAAAGCAAGCTTTATTAATTTGTGAAAACTCTTTATGCCGGCGTTGGGGTATCGTGAGGCTGACCGATTCCCTAGTGGGGACTGATGGTGTACAGTAGTGAGTGAGCAAGACGGGAACTGGTGACGCGATTCGGATGAATTAGCTGGTTTGACAGGACATTGGGAAAACTTTGAAGCCAACAGCTGTGGAATGTGTAGAAGCATCTGGACTGATATGGCTTCATGTTCCCCTAATATTTTTGCTGGATTTTTTTATGGGTTGCCATGGCGTTAGTGTTGGGAATTACCCTAGTTTTGTTCTGGAGAATGTTTCCAAAGCTTTTCGATCTGGACCCATGTTTCTCATCACGTTTGGGCAGCACTGAGCGTGAGACAACCCAGGGAAAGACCCAGGAACCCCCCCCCCCCCCGCCCTGTGAGAAGACCTGTCATCACCCTGGCTATTAAAGCATACAGCTGAAGGTCAAATTCACCTACAAGGAACCTTCTCCCAGTACAGCTTACATAAATACAAAATGAAGAAACGTCAGGACATGTATTAGATAATGCTTTTATCTTAATATTTGTTTGCTGTTTCTTTTTGTCGTGCAGAGTAACGATGCGTGAAAACTAAAATTTACTATAAGACGGAATTCTTCTTGACAAGTTTTTCTCTAACTCGTGCCTTGCAGCTGCTGTTCGCTGTACATTGAAAACGGCACAGCGGGAATTTGATCGCAAGCGGCAGGACGTACTCTGTCTCCCCACAGTTTCCTGCACGTCCCGCTTTGCATCTCCCTCAATCCAGAGCGAAAGCCAGTCGCTATTGTCCTGTCTTGAACCAATACAGAACATGACTTGTCCTGTATTTTCGAATCCCGACTGAAATATAATTTAATCCAGACCACGTGATTGCTGCCCTCCCCCTAGTGTTATCGTCAGAGAGCCAGGCAGGTAGGGTATCCCTTATTTCTTTAGATTAAAAGTTGCAGCCCAAAGCACAGCAGATGTGTGCATGAACTGAAAATAGACAGGCTGCGTGCATGAGATCAAAACTCTGGCGGTTCACTTTAACTCAATTAAATAGTGGCAGGTGAAACAATGAGTTTAAATAACTTTATTTTCCTGTACATAAGGCATTTGGTGCGTTATATATTTTTTAAGGGTAAACAAAAAGAGACATGCAGCAAACAGATGTAAAAATGAGGAACATGTGACTTCTGAGAGGATTAGGCTTTCCTCATGTCTATGGGAATGAATGTTTTTGTGTTTTTTATTATTATTTTCAGAGAACAAAAGAAATTGAAATGTTACTTTCGAGTTCTCTAGCTTTACAACACCTGTACCACTGTCTGACACTGTGAATTCAGAAACGTAGATGTTACATACATGTGTACAAGCGAATGAGCTGCTGTTCTTCAGAATTCACAATGTCACGGCTCAACTCCAATCTGACATTCTGCACTGCTTTGTCGCCATAGCGACTGGAATCCTGCAGTGTGTTCAGGCCACGTACAAAATTGAAATGTTTCCATTAAGGTCGGGCCCTGCGATGACCTTGCTAGGTGAGTTCGCGTCTGGGCGCTTAGTGCCCCGGTTAGAATGCATAGAACACTATCTTCCACTCTATCCATTTATTTCAGCTGTTTGCTTTGAAGTCCAAAACAATTAATAATTAATTAAGCAATAACTGCCATAATTTTAGCTAGCCTTTTAGCCTGTCGACAACTCTGGATATCTGGGGCAGCAGGCATCGTCACTATAGTAACGCAGATCGTTTTAGTTGTTTTGATCAGAGGGGCTTTGTGCCTCTAGTTTGTTAAATGTTTGCCTCACAAAGTCCAGATTTTTTCCATGGTACATTCATCCATTTGGCATCTGGTGGGGGTGGGGGGTGAGGGTACGAGGGAGCTTCTGTTTCTTCCAACAGGGATACACTTCGTTCCTACCCAAAAGTAGAGCTTGGCAAGTAGTGATACAATCAGTACCCAACATCAAATATTCTTATTAAAGTTAAAGAAGTGTTTCTCTGAGTCTGAATGAAAGATTATGTGTACCTTCCGACTGGCGTGGGACTAAACAGATCGCCGTAAGTGTACGGCAGCAAATGAAAGCCTTTCGCTTTGAATGTTGTGAGTTACTTCATGAAATACGGCGCTGAGAGACGAGTGTCAGTACGGAGTGAGAAATCACCACAGTGAAAATATGCCGTCAAACACATAACGATTCACTGGAATTTCACTGGAAGTTCATTTAAGGTTATGTAAGAAAGGGGGAGTGTCTGGACGTACGATCCCTGAAGTGATGTTTCTGGACACTCAGTGCGAGTCTTGCTTGACCAGTGCTGAAGAGGAACTGTCCCATAAAATAATGAAATGTCGAAATGTCTTCTTTCTTAGACCAAGCGTAATGAAAATGGAGCTTGACATGGTCTGTTTTTTAAATATGCCTTTCTCAGGGTTTACAGTTACCATATTTTACCAGTTGCTTGCTGTTTTGAATCAGTGAGTGACAGGAGAGGGGACACTCTGGGGGCCAATCAGCTTCCAGCTGGGGCCAGGGCCCCTGTGGCCTCGCCCCTGTATACGACTCTGATATTGGTGCCTCAAACTGCTAGGGTCGATATCCAGGCCCAACTCTGTGTGAGTGGAGACTGTGTGGGTTTCTTTGTGCTTAATCAGTAACACTAAGCTGATCTTCGCCTAAGAGGGACATACTGGTGTCCTGTGCAGGCTGCAAGGAACCAACCCACCCAGCCATGTTTCAATTGAGCTTCTGTTCTTCCTGTCAAACATGCCTTACAACCATGATTTCGAGTTTTCAAAAAAAAAAAAAAAAAACAAATGTCCGAAAAGTCTTTTACCTCTATGGTTCAGAGTCACCCCCAGCTCTCAGTACAGAAAGTTAACTGGATCTCAGGCAGGGATGAAGTCACCCGATTAACTTAATTAAGTGGTCTGAGGAGCCAACGTGGATGGAACTGAAAATGAAGGTGGTTATCAGTCATGAGGCAGCTGGTACCTGTGAGAGTCCCTGGGATAAACTGGGGCGTGGGAGGTCGGGTCCCTGGGATAAACTGGGGCGTGGGAGGTTGGTTGTCTGAGTCACATTCCACTCTCACATTATCCA